TGGATGCTGTCAAGGCTAAGATTTCCAATGCAGTCCTTTCAGTAAGCAGCCACTGATGAAAATTTTTACAAAATTTGAAAATCGACTGAAGTGATGTATAGCATAGAATTGTTATGTTGAATTTTAACAGGAAACATCAGTAATTTAAAATTTCTAATAACCTCTCAAATGTCAGTTTTTGTACATTCGTAATATTTATTTCTGAAGTTTATTAAAGCTTAAAACTGTACTAAGACTTTTCTTTTGGGACACCCTATGTATTCAGAGTGATCCATTCACTTAGAGCCTTTGCTCTCTTTAGGATTGGCGATCTAAATGGAAAGTTAGCCACCTTTCCAAGAAATGCCTCTGTAATTTTACCCTCAAGGCAGCTATTAGCAATTGAAGCTGGCATGTCTTCACATAAAGTTATTATTGGCAATAATTGTGCCAAAGCCACTACTGCCAAAAGTAGCCACCCCAAATGACCTTAAAAAAATTAAGCTAATGACAATTTTATGTAGTATGGAAGTTGTTCCATTTTATTTAAGGCCAATACAAACTTTTCCTTGTCTTTCCAGTTTATGTCAGAGTCGACATTCAATCCAAAACTATGGATCAATATTTTTTCCCCATTAAAGTATGTTTTTCTAGTCATTTTGGAAAATAAGCTCATACTAAAGCCCCAGAAAAAACCCATAGGTATAAATATTTGATGGCATACTTTGGCTCACCCAAGCTGATGATGATAATTCCTTTTTCCTATGTACATGTTTTTCTCTCATGGAACTTGGTCTTTGCAAGGGTTAGAACACTCGTGTTGTATTTGTGCATTTATTTGTTTCCATTTATTAATGGAGTTGGCTTGGAAGCCATGACTACCTGGGTTCAAGTCCAGCTTCTGACACATCCAGGCTCTGTGACCCTGGACAAGTCACTCAACCTCTCAGTGTCCTGGTCACTTCTCTTAGAATAAAAATTGCAAAGGAGGTGTTGATCTACACTAGTAAAGGGAGTCTCCTGATTTGTATTTCCTTATGCCAGTGAAATCAAAGGTCCATTCCAAACTCCACCCCAAAGCATTATATGTGTGTGTGTGTATGTATGCATATGTATATACACATATGTGCATATGTATATGTGTATATATGTACACACACAGACACTCTCACAGGATGTCCCAAAGTCTTAGTGCAATCTTAAGCTTTAATAAACCTATTACTCTAAGGATGTGTATACACACACACAAATTATATATGGCCCTTTGTTATATTATAGACAGTAAGAGGGAAAAAAAGAACAAAATACCAGATTCAAAAAACGTCAAGAGGACCACCTCTGTTGACTGTCTGGGATTATAGAGCTGGAAGGGATATTAGAGTATATTTTCCAAACCCCTTATTTTACAGATGGGGAAACTAAGGCCCAGTGACTTGTTGTTAAGTAGCAAAGCCAGAGATTTAAACCCAGATCTTCTAACTTCCAACCTAGAGTTATTTCTACCATAACACCCTGCTTTATGCTGCAGTGTAAGATCTGAATGACAGAGACATCAACTGGCTCGTTATTTTTCCTTCTTTTGAACCATGTGCTTCTGCAAAGGAGATATTAGTGCCACCAGAAAAAATGTATTTAGGGCTAGGAAAATGGGTCACCAAATGCTATTCCCATTCAATGCTCAGTCTTTTTTGGTGATTCCTAATAAAGGAATTGGCTGTTACAGTTTTTTAACTTTTTGCCTTCTAGGAACCAGTTCACAGGATGTTAGAGATATAGTAGGTACAAAGCACGTTTTTTTAAAGTTAGTTTGGTTTTAAGTTAGTTTGGTTTTTTTTTTTGCATTAAGAAAAATTAACTAATTTGTTAACACTAATAATTTCAAAACGAAATAAGAGGGGACAGCTAGGTGGCACAGCAGATAAAGCTCCAGCCTTGGAGTCAGGTGGCCCCAGACAGTTGATGCTTACTAGCTGTGTGACATTGGGTAAGTCACTTAACCCCGATTGCCTCATCAAAAAAAAAAAAGTTTAAAAAAATGAAATAAGAAGCCAAGACTAACTAGATATGACTTTGGTTAAAATTACATGGTTATCTGTGAAATTGAAGCTGCCATAACCTCCTGCCAATAAAAAAAAAATCAGTTTCTGGACAGTATTATTGAAAATTTGGAAAACCTTGAAATAAAAAAAAACCTGACACCCCTCAACCCTTGAAAAAATCTAGGCAAACTAGCTTTGTGACCTATATCATGTCTTCTTTTTGTAAGTGGGGAACTGCTCAGTGCCCACTCTCCTGCACAACATAGTTTTAGGGGGGTGGGCTCTCATTTTGTGCCTGAGAAGTCCTGTCTGAAGTTCCACAGCATTGACAGGATCTGTAGATTGTGTTCAAATCACTTGTTTTATATAAAAAAAAATATAGTAAGTCACCAAATCTGACAAGAACTCATTCTGTTGCAATGAAATCTAGGGTAATTACATTTGACAGAACTTGTAAAAACAAAAATGAAAGCCAGCAGGTAAGAAAAGCCAGTTTACCAAAGCTAAGGCATCTCATTCTTCTCTAAGAGAATGTTAATTTATCCTAAGGCCTAGTCTAACCCAAGGAGCTTGAGCTGATGAAAACTGGTGACTATCACATTGATGAACTTGAGATGTACTATACCCAAAGCAGGTAGGTGCTGTATGTAACAAAGCACTTGCGTTTGGTTACATTTCCTGCTAAATAGGGTGGGATAGGTATTATCAAAGTAAAGAATTACTCTATTGTTATTCCATAGCACTAATTGATTATGGTTTGATGCTGGTAAAGTGAGTCATTTCTACTTTATTTTTGTAGGGGTACAGCCATCTACTTAAGGAATAAAGAAATAAGGATAAATAGTGACAACTAATAGCAAATTATCAGCTTATTTTTCCAGGTACTATGGGCATGCCAAAATAGTACTCTATGCACTGGAGGCATAGAAATACTTAGTGAATATAAAATATATAAGAAAATAATGTTTTTATGTTGAAACTTGGGCTTTGCCTTTCTTTCCAACTTTTTCCTTACTACTTTCCTATGAAAAGCCTCATTTTGACTAAACTGGCCTACTTTTTGTTCCAGGGAATGACCACTGCCTTATTGCTGCCGTGCCTTGGGGTAGGACATGCCAGGAATGCTCCTTCTTCCGCTCCTCCTCTTTGCTTGTCTAAATCTTTAAAGTCCCATTCAAGTCTTAATCTTTTTCTTTTTGCTGAGGCAATTGGGGTTAAATGACTTGCCCAGACTCACACAGCTAGTGTTATGTGTCTGAGGCTGGATTTGAACTCGGGTCCTCCTGATTCCAGAGCCAGTGCTCTATCCACTGCGCCACCTACCTGCCCCAAAGTCTTAATCTTTTCTATAAATCTTTACCCAACTGCTCTTGACCTCGGATATTCATCCCTTTTTTGGGAGGGGATTGTCCCTCCTTTTAATTCTAATAGCAATTTACTGAACACACCATTTATATGACTCTTAAAGTATTTCCTCTCTTGCTTTATCTACTGAAACAGAAAGCCTCTATTATGCTTATCTTATAGGGCAGGGATGGGTCTTTTCTTTGTATCTTGAGCACCTAGCACAGTTGCTCAAAAAACGTTTATTGCTGATTATTTCAGAAAAATTAGGTTGACTTTTAGAAAGATTCCAATCTTTGTACAGATTTCTTGACCACAAAGTCAGTTAATATTGATCATTTTAACAGAGGAAAAGCAAACAAATAACCATGTTTGTGAAATTGATACAGTAAACCAGAATAGGACAAATATTTTCCCAGGATCAGAGATGGAAGGGACCTCAAAGCCCATCTAGTCTAACACGAGCCTGGGATAGGAATTCCTTTTACAACATCTGGAACAAGTAGCCATACACATATCCTCTAAGTGAAGACCTCCAATGAAAGGAAAATTGTTAATGCTTCCTGTAGCCAATTTCACATAATCATCATATAAAATAAAATCATACTTCTTGAATGACAGAAAATAACTTCCAGGCACTAAGTAAATGGGTCAGGAAGGGCAAACTTTGTTCTGCAGGTTTATGTATATATTAATATGCTACTGGAACCTTATTCACAACTATAGTTCTTGCTGCTGGTGATGTTGAGGCTGGTAGATCACTTGAGTTTAGGAGTTCTGAGTTGCAATAGGACCAAAGCCGATTGGGTGTTCACACCGAGTCAGGCTCCAATATATTGAACCTTTCCATCGTCCCTGCCCTGGGAGCAGAAAGCTATCTTAAGAAGGGACAAACCAGCCCAGGTTGGAAAAATGGAGCAGCTTAAATTTTCTACATCAATCACTATTGAGATTGGGTGATAGGTGAAGTAGCAGGACTCAATTGGGAAAAAAAAAAATTTCAACCCAGAATATAAATGCAAAGTCCTAAGCCTTACCTCCCTCGTATTTCCAAATGTTATCTTGCTGTAGAGTGTTTTCCTGGACTGTCACCGCTTGGTTATAAATCTCTTACAAATCACAACTCACAAACAGAAAACTCTATTAAAAAACTGAGGCCATGGCATCACTGTTTTACTCAAGTTTGGCTTCCTGGAATGAATACAAATTTCAGATGGGGACTATTTTCTCATTAGGTGAAACCATAAATAAAAATAAAGCATTTCTCCTGACCTTGGCCTTGTGTGCTGGCATATCTGCTTTGTAAAAGAAAGATAGTCTTGTGTCCAGGAGTACTGAAGGAGCTATAGAAGCTTATTTTCAATTAGTTGCCCAATTACGTGGAACCTGGGGGTGTCATCTCTGTTGTGCCCTCTGTAAAATGAATGTCAAGCTCTTTGAGATGTTGAAATGGAATTTCTAATAAAGGATGATGCTATTCTCTCTAGAAGATTCTCCCATAACAATAGATAATGATCTTTACCAAGAAGTCTTTCTTTTAGCTTTATTTTCTTGCCTGGGGTCTAAATGGTAAATCCAGAGTATTTACTTGGGATCTTACAGCAATGATGTGCTATAAAAAGATACAAGATGCTCATGTACAAAAACCTCACTGAGTCCTTTATTAATGTTTGGAGATGTATGGAGTACATACAATTAACAGCATCACACCAGCTACAAGAAGTACTGTCTCGAGGATGTACTTCAAAACAAGGATCCCAGAGCACCAATGGTGTTGCCTGCCCTGAACCACCACAAAAAAACCAACTTGGACACACACAGGACAAACAATACCACAAAATCACTTTGAAATGGTTCTTTTAAAAAATAACAAGAGCTAGAAGTTCAAAACCACTTAAAATTTGAAATGTGGCAGCTCCCTCAGTGGCATGGCACTGGCTGTAAAAGGCTAGTTTGGACGTGGAAGGTCAGAAACAAGAACTGACTGGGAGGACTGGAAGAGGTTTCATGTTCTTGTGGAGACAGATATATCAGATGGTCCAAGTGGATGTTTTCAGTCCAGGATCTGTACATTTCCTGTAGGAATCCACTGGGTAAATAGAGTTTGTAAAATGGAAGGCTGAGAAATGCCTGCCACCCAGCTGTGTCACTAATTCCAATTAGTAAGCACTGACACATCAGAGGGCTATAAACAAATATGATCACAAAGCAAGTTTAAAAGGGACAAGGCTGAAATTAAGTTTTTGGTTCATTATGCCAGGTCGACAACGATCCTTTTTAGTCACTGGGCGCTGTGGGTCCCTTCGGCTGTCTTTTGTGTACTCTGGATATCTTCCTTTATTTTAATTTTCCATTTTGGAAAAAAACAAAACAAAACAAAAAATCAAAACCCCCAACACCATTCTCCACAGAGTCCTGCTTCCCCTTAGTCTAGACTTTTTCCTTCCTCTTTAATTTCGACACTTTCTTGACAGTTCCGTTCTTGTTTAGAAGTTTTAGGACTCGTTCCTTGTGATCTAAAACCTTGAGCATGGAGTCTCTGGCTTCACTAATTTGATCCATCACCAGTTTACATCTCTGCATATTTCCCTGTAACAGAAGATAGCACCATTCAGTTATCATGAAAGACTTTTAATAAATTTTTTAAAAAATCATATTTCTGATCATACTTTTCAGCAAAGTAGACTGTTAATGTTAAAAAAAAAATATTACTTTGTTGGTAATGTAATTTAAGATTGACAATGAATTTTTTCCCCCTAAAATTACCAAGGGGATAGCTAAGGCTAATAAGCTGATGCATATGCTTGAAAGATGAGGCCAGGGCTCATACCTGTATCAGTTCATTTATTCGGTGTAGATCATCATCAGTTGCTGCCTTTTTCTTAGGGATAATACCTTCCTGTAAAGTGGTGAGTCGTTCATAAACATCATGCTCCAGATTTGTCTGAAATAAATAGGAATAAGCACAACTAACTATAACTTACTGTGATCCTTTAGTCTTTATCTTAAACAAGAAAGGCAGCATGGTATAGTGGAGAGAGCTAGCCTCAGAGTCAAAAGTCCTGTGTTCAAATTTTGCTACTAATGTATACTGATGGTGTGACCCTAGGCAAGTCATTTCATTTCTTGGTATTTTGGGCAACTCCCCACACCCAAAAAACCAAAACAAAACAAAAAAATCTGAGCAAAAACAACTGTGCTACAATTCTAGTCAGTCCCTTTGACCAGCTTTGCAAGTAAGTCTAAGAACTATTCAGGCAATCATTTTTTCCACTAGTCTTCCATCCCTTCCAGGATGTGAATAAATTATCAGACTAATATAATTTTTTGCTGTTTGTAAGGATATCTTTCATACACTGGCCCAAATTCCTATTTCTTCTTGTTAAAAGGCAAACTCTTCCCTAGAAAACTGCTTTACTGGTTATGGCTTTGCTCTTTTAGAATGCTTCTAAATAGATTGGTCTAAACAGATCTCTCCAGATAACCACTACTCTAAGATAGAAAAACTTAATCTAATGTTCCAAATATTTTGGACAATTTGGACAAGCAGAAGTTATTTTCTGATCCTGGGATAAATATTAACCATTCTGACAATACGCTACCTCAAATGCTAAAATTTCAGAAGTTCTTCATAACAATGTGTTTTCCTTATACATGGTCAGCTGGCTTGTCAAAGGGCTGTAATGTCTAATTTCCTTTCTCCATGGCTCAGTCAAGCTGCTGAAACTTTTTACTTACCAACTGTAGCAACTGGGCAGCACAGAGATGAACTTTCCAACCTTGGGCTCGGCAAGATACTCCTTTCTGATTGGCTATTTCTTGCAGCATGGCTTTCTTCTCCTCTGGAATCATATGAATATATACTTGAGTCTATTCATTTAAATAATAAAAGCTAAAATCACCAATGTCTGTCTTCAAAGTAGTTCCTCTCCTCTCATTTTATTCAAGGACCCATAAAAACGGAACAAAAACCTCTTTCCTCACTTTAAGAGCTGAGAATGCTTTAAAAATGTTAAAAAAAAATTTTAACCTGTTTATACTCAAAGACCTTTTAAAACTGGTAGATTTCTAGTTATTTTTTTTATTATGAATGTGAACAAACATCAACAAGAATGTTTCCATATTCAAAGAACAGAAAAAAAGAGATCAAATATGAAACTATGAATCTTTGTTACATATAGCTTTTAAAAGAAAGTACATATTAAATTTAACAAGGTATTACCAACATTGGCCTCCCAGTGTGCATTTTTAAAACGTAGTATAGAAATCCTTTTTTTCTTTTCATTACTATCATCAAACTCTCCACCATTTTTCTTCCTCTCTCTCCAGCCGATGAAAAGCCCTCCCTTGGAGTCAAGCTAAACAAATCCACACCCTGGTCTGTCTGAACATAAAAGTTCCTCATTTTGTACCTCTAGTCTTTTAAATCACCTCTCTGCTAGAAGGTAGAAAGCTGAATCATTATCAGTTTTTGGAAATCATTATTTATCTTGGATTGCTCAACGTACTTAAGTCCTTCAGAGTTGTTTTCCTTTACAACATTAAAATCACTGTATAAATTGTTCTCCTGGTTCTACCCATTTTATTCAGTGTCAGTTCATACAAGTCTTTTCAGGTTGCTGTAAATCTGTCCCTTTGATCATTTTTTATAGCACAACAGCATGCCATTCCATTCTCCTGCACTCGAGGTGTCAAACTCCTATAGGCAAGTGGCCTGAACCAGATGAAAATGTGATGGGGAAATGTTTAACAAAATAAATAAAAATACAATCCAACATAATATTAATCTGTGTTTTTCTAAATCAATATGCTACTGGCAAGGATCCCTTTCTATTTCAGTTTGACACCACTGCTCTACAGTAATTTGTTCTGCCCTTCCCTAGTCAATGGGTATCACATTTTATCCAGTTTTGTGCCATAACAAAAAGCAATGCTATAATTTTTTTTTTTAATATAGACATCCTTTCCCTCTGTCTCTGATCTCTTTGGGGTATGTATCAGTTAGTGCTACTTCTGGGTCAAAGGGTTTAGTGAGTTTTTGGGTACAGCTTCATATTGTTGTCCAGAATTGTTGGACTAATTTGTAGCTCCAATTGCCCCTTCAAATAAGTGTAATTTTACTTAACTGAGATATTTACCAAATGCTTAGCACAGTACCTGGAACACAGTAGGCACTATATAAATGCTTATTCTGTCCCCTCCCCCTTTTGTTATCTTTGAGTGTGTAGTAGGATCTCAGAGTTGCTTTAATCTGCATTTCTCTTACTGAATAAATGAAAAAGCATTTATTAAGTTATTACTACATGCAAAATACTTTGCTAAGTTGTGGGAGTACAAAGAGAAAAGAATCTGCTCCCTAAAGAGTTTGCTTTCTAATGGGAGGGATAACATATACACAAGGTTTCAGCTGCAAATAAAAGGCCTCATGATCATTATTAGTGATCTGGAACACTTCATCATATGATTGTAATATAGTAATATGGTTGATAATGCCCTGTTCATACCCTTTGACTATTTACCTAATGGGGAGTAGCTCTTGTCTTATATATTTATCAGTTCCTCATGTATCTTAGTTATGAAACCTTTATTAGAAAAATCTGTTACAAAAGATATTTTCCTTAATTAAACGTTTCACTTCCAGTTCTAAATAAATTGCTTTTGTTTGTACAAAAACTTATCTTATATAACCAAAAGTGTCCATTTTATTTCCCATGATCTTCTTTATCCCTTATCTGGTCAGGAATTCTCCCTGATTCATAATATCTCCTTCCTCTTTCCTCTGATAGGTTTATGATATAGCTTTTATATCCAGGTCAGCTATCCAATTTTGGCTTGAGGTACATGCTGTGAAATGTTAGTCTAAGTTTAATTTCTCCCAGACTGCTTTCCAATCTTCCCAGGGGTTTTACTTGTTTTTAAATCTAATAGCAAAATCTTTACTGCAGCTGTTGTTGTCACTGGGTTCACTGACAATTATGCTACTATGTTTGATTGTGTCTGGTTCTCATGCACCTAGTCTGGTCTATGAATCCCCCGCCCTCAGCATGCTGCTTGTCCTTCAAGTTAAGTTTGGTCTTCCCTGATCCCCTCCCCACATTACTACTGTCTGCTTCTCAGGGTACATCTTGTACACCCCCCAGCCGAATGCAGGCTCCTTAAGGGCAAGGAATATTTAGCTGTTTTCTTTGTCGTCCCCATCATCAAGCCCCTTATGTAGTGGATGCTTAATAAATGCTTGTAGAATTGAATTAAATATAAGCTCATCCCTAAAATATCTAGGCTATGTAAAATAAATATGATGACATTTTGTTTTAAAGACCGAGAAACATAAGCCAATAAATTTAAGCCATGAGTATCCAGATCAAAGCTTTAAGGTTCCTGACGTCCCAAGTTACAGTCACACTGCCCTTTTTTGAGGAGTCCCAATGAGTAAATTGGGATAAATTAGTAAATCTATTAAAAGGGGCAGGTAGGTGACATAGTGGATTGAGTGCCAGGCCTGGAGTCAGGAAGAACTGGGTTCAAATCTGGCCTCAAACACCTTACTAGCTGTGTGACTCTGGGCAAGTCACTTAACCTCATTTACTTCAGTTTCCTTATCTGTAAAATGAGCTGGAGAAGGAAATGGCAAACCATTCCATTTCTTTGCCAAGAAAACCCCAAATGGGATCATAGAGAGTCAAATATGACTGAAATGACCGAACAATAAGTAAATCAGAACTCTACAACGAAAGATTTCAAGTCAGTGCTGATGCCATTAGCTGCCCATCCTGCAGTCTGCATGGACTCTGAACAGGAAAGAAGGCCCAGCTCATCCTGGCAGCTGCTATTTTCCTGGCTCCCCTCACGGACTTCACTACCAGTACCCCTTCTTACCCAACATTATACCTGAATGATCTATGGACTAGTACAGGCTTAAGGGGAAATTACTTGAAAAAGGAACTTTTATGCCTTCTTGGTGTTTGATAAATTTGATGAGATTTCTGTTGATAGGTGTTTCATGTATGTGTGTATATATATATATATATATAAATAGATATATAGAGATATATATGTATTTTTTCCCCAGTCCTTTAAACCATTGTTATTACATTAGAGCCTCACTATAATACTGTCTTCAAGGCCCAGGATATGGGATCATGTTATATATACCAACTTATTATAGGGACCAAGATATAAACCTGTCAAACTAAACTATAAACTACAGTAGCTAGGAACAACTGCAGCCTACTTAAATGCTTGAAATCATAAATCAGACAACTGTAGGCAAAAATGGCTGACACCTATCAAAATAGCAAAGATGATTTAAAAACAGGAGGGGGCTGACACTAGACCTGCAGTTTCATCAATGGAGAGAGCTTCCAGTGAAGACTTCCACCTAATGTACCACATTGGCTACCAGAATGTCAAAGAAAACCCTGGAAAACTTCAGTGACAACCAGTGATCTCTGAGGACTGCAGGTGAAGTACACCTTCTCGCTTTCCTCTTGGACCAGAGAGGAAGTCGACTATTGTTGTGTAATGAGGTTTACCTTACCAGGCCAGGCCAGTGTGTTGACTTATTTTGCTTCACTGTACTTTTTTGTTACAAAAGAGAGTTCTGGAGAAGGGGAAGAGGACTCACTGATAAATGACAGCAATTTTTTTTTGAAACAGCATCAATAAAACATTTTCCAAAAAGTAACTCATGGCTTACATACAAAAAGCCAGAAGTTTTGTTTTCCACAAGACCATTCTGCTACTTCCAATGTGGCTATGCTTTGGTGCCCATTAGGAAACACCTGTATTTGAAAGGATTCAAAAGTTCACTTTCTTTAAAGGACTTTCTTACCTTTGACTCTGACATCACTGTACCTCTGGAAGTGATGATAAGCAGCTTTCCAGGGGTTCCGGTAATGTCGGAGTAGAGTAATGGGAGGTCTTGGACGTACAGGGACATACCTCACACCTTCTTCATCTATGAAAAGGGAAAGAAAGATAAAATAGGCAATGAGTCATACATCTGATTTTCCTACCCAATTTAAACTATATCCAGCTTCATAATTTAAAATCTCAAGTGTACATGACTGACTTGAGAAAAGCAGAAAAAAAAATAATGCTTCAATTGAGATCTACTTCCAAAAGCCACAATTACCTATATATTCCTTGGGAGGAGACTTGCGTTTCTCAGCCTTTACTAGCAAACTCTTAGGAGTAGACTTTTCATCATCAGTACTATTTGTCTCCATCATGTCACCTTCCTCTGTTGAAATCACATGCTGTTGCTTTCGTGGTTTTTTCCTTGGAGAGGCACCAGGTGGCAAATCACTTGCAGGCATCGACAGGTTGTTGGCCAGCAGTGCAAGAGAGGGAGACACAGTGTTGGTTGTTAATGGAGGAACTGCTGAGAGAAGAGAGAAAACACAAAGTCTATGAAAAAACAATTGCAGTAAGAGACTGCATTTGATTTGTGATAGGGTAAAAATAGGACTTCTCTCTATTAATGTTACCTAAAAGAAGGGTCCCCTAAGTTCATATGGTGACTAACATAAAGATGGTGATAAAACACTTAGTCCATAAAACCTCACTGCCTTATTCCTATCTTATTAGATAGTATCTCTGTCAGTCAGAAATTGGAAACCTAGAGTACAAAAAGGTTAAGTGATTTGCCTAATGCCACAGAGTAAGTCAGTAGTGAAGCCAAGAAAAACTGAAATCGTGACCTCTAGCCAACCCAGGTCACCCACGCTGCCTTTCAAAAGAAACTATTCTGCAACTTCCTGGAAAATGTCAGTGGTGAAAAAGAGTGCAGTTGGAAGGATAATGGGAAAACAAAACATTTTAGTAAGCACAGAATCAAGAATCCTTTCTTCAGTAACATACGTTATAAAAATTCTTAACTAGCCTCTTCAAATTAAATGGGGCAAGAATCTTAAATATCCCTCAGCTGTCCGTATATTTCCTTGATAGATACTGAAGAAAAATGCATTATATAAGCTATTGGTAGCAGTGCCTTGTAGAAAGCAGAAAAATAAAGTGTTTAAAAAAAAAGTTGTTTGCACTGACTTTCCTTACTAATGAAAGAAGACTGCTCTCACCTGTCAATCAAAGTCTCCCAGTTTTAGTCTTCAAAAAGAAATTTACCTGCTTACATTTACTAAAACCAGTCTTACAATACAGTGGGTGGTACAAAAGCTCTAACAGGAATGAACTCTGAAAAGAGGAGCTCTTTGTAGCAATTATTTTAAATGGGCCACCAGAGTTCCAGCTTTAGCAACATGGTGATAGGCAAAAGGACATTCTTAAAGGAAAAAGAAACTGATGAGAGAAAATATTTCTTTGCATGAACTTACCAGAAACAGGACGCATTATATCCATAGGTTCTACTTCTTCTTTAATTTTTATCTCTGGCACCGCGGGCCCCATTACAGTGGAAAGGCTGCCACCCACCGCTGATGATGCAGGAGGAGCAGCTGCAATAGTGGTGATGGGTGGCGTGACAGGAACTGCTCCCGGAATTGTTGACAGGGCTACTGATGGTTGTGAGGGGGGACTGGTTGCTGCAATGATAGTTGGGATGGCAGGTGGTGGCTGTTGAGAGGTGGGCTGCACAGCAATGGTGGGCTGATCACTACTCTGATTGGACACAGCCTCCACAGACATAGTGACTGGTGTGGCCATAGATACATGGATTTCTGGCTTAGGTTTGGCACTGAAACATAAAAACAAAACATTATCAAGTTGGTTTTAGCTAGTAATCTCCTAGAGAGGGAGGAGCTCTGAATAATTCATTTTGTGAAGCACCCAAAATAATACCTTGTGCAATTAGGTACTCTATTCATTGATTTTAAACTACATCAGAATAAATGATATACTATTTCCAAGGTGAACTTTATGGCAATATTTTTAAAAATTCGTTTGAAACCTCCAAAGTCTAAGAGAACAGTGACTCAAAAATGTCACTTCACATTAATTTTTAAATCGTCACTTGTCTTGTTTATACTTTATTCACTGTTTCTACATGAAAAGTATTTGTAAATCAAATCATTTTTGTTACAAAGGATGTAAAACCTAAGATAGGATTCAAGCCTGCCCAGCTATGTTCCATTAACTTTTCATTTGAAAACCATGAATATTATTCTCAAATTTGGAAGAAGAAAAGCATGCACACAGGTCCAAATATTTCTCATTAGGAAAAGACAAAAACAAGAAGAAACTAGAGAACCACCACAGAAAGAGAATGAGTACAAAAAAGATCTTCAGTACTCTAAAAGTAAAAAAGTAACAGTGAAAGAAAATAATTTATTAATCTTTTTGAAGTCTACAACAGAGGGCTATAGACATCACTAAGAATATATTACGGATGCCAGCAATGAAAGATATCTATTGGAATGGAGGAGGGGTCATGTGGCTTTAATACAACCAAGAAGCAACTAAGGCTATAATTGATAGCCTTTCATTGTTTCTCTCCAAATGCATCACTTCCCCCTTTTTCCTTTCTTTCTTCCCCCTCTTTCTTTCCCCTTCCTTAGCTCATGCTTCCGGACTGCCTGTACCTTCTTGGGTCACCACTGAGCCTGTCTGACGGCATTAAGGGTTAAAAGCTTGTTGACTACTTTGCTAGAACTAGTAGCGGCATCTTGTGTATCAGACAAAAATGCATTTAAGAAAAGAAAGACTCTCATTCTTAAGTTATTTCTTACCACAAAGTAGTGCCCTAATATAATTTTTGTTGTAAAATGTTAAAATGTTTAGTTCCTCACACTCCATTGCATATAGTTCTCTATTCACTCTTATTAGTAGAAGATGGCTAAGTAATACTAGTCACATTCAAATCAGGCCTTACCCCGAAGGTCTGGGTGACCCAGATGTACTCCTTATGGAGCTTTCTACTCGAGGACTAGTGACTTCAGGTGGCTGAGGAGGAATGAGGCTCTTCCGGACTGCCATTCTGAAACAGAAACAACCTTGAAAAATAGCTCCAGATAAAGAACATTAAACACTGACAATTACATGATGCCTTCTACCTGTCATATATTGGAGCACTCATCATAATGGCTAAAATACTACCCTCACTTTGTGTTTGTGTTAGTATCATTATTTCACTATGGATTTAGTCTTGAAATGAAAAAATCCAGTATACTAAAAGAAGTAGCTCCTAAAGTGTTGTAAGCATCCTTGGCAAACCCTTTTCTCCTCTAGAGAAGGTTCTCAATGGTTCAAGACGCCAACAATACATAACTCTCAAATTAAAGCTGTGATAGCTACTTCATTTCCTAAAAAGTGACTAGAATTAGAAAACGATCATTTTACCCTTCCAAATTGTCACTTTAATAGTGCCCACCACTCTAAAAATGAAAAGTCAGTGCAGAGGTTCATAGGACAATACAACATATCAGTGTTAAATCATAAACACTTTTTTATCCAGAATGAACAACTTTTTTATATGAAAGAAAAACAGACTGTGGTCACTAACAACAAAGATACCTCTCTAGAAAAGAGTGCATAGTAAATTCCAGTACTACTCTAAGAATTCAATCCTGAGAGAAGCCATGGAAGCCCATGTACAAACCCCCATAAAAATAATGGACTTTTCATTCTACAATCTCTAGGGCCAAGTTTTTGGGAGAAAATAAAAACACTACTTCATAATGACCAATCTAATGATTCACCCTTGTCGTTAGCAATGGAGAGGTACTAATCACTACATTTTTTTTTCTGGAACAGCTATGTTCTAAATTAAGTGTCTTGCATTGTTTTACAAGGTTGGGGGCCTCCTCACCCATCGGTGGCTGGCTTCTTTCGGAGGATGCTTGGCCGAGGGGACGAGCCTTGGGCTGGCGCGCTCGTGCTGGCACTCTGGCTGTGGGTCTGCACCACGGTGGTAGCTGCTGGAGTGGCATTAAATGTATTGCTAATAGGATTGGCTACAATTGTGGCTCCATCTGCCAACACCACTGCTGGGAGGACAGAAGGGAATATGGACAAGACGAGAGGGGAAAAAAAGAAAAATTATTCAAACTCCTTGAGTGGAAGAGAGCATTTTCAACATGGTTTCTTTTCCTCAAAGATCATAAAAAAAAAAAAAACCCAACCCTTCAGAGTCTGTGCACTCTAGTGCTTGTCACAACAGCCCAGCTTTTTAGGGTTGGTAGCATTGTGCTTTAGTTAGACAGACTCACAATAGAGGGAAAAAATGATTTAATAAAATCATGAGTGATTAATAATAATGGTAATACATTCTCCATTACACATATATTCCTTGACTATTTATGACATCTTTTCATGTATATTATTTCAATGACCTGCATAATGAGCATGGGAGAGAAATGACAAGTGTTCTGCATTTTATAGATGAGGAAACAGAGGGCTAAGAAAAGTTAAGTGACTTCCTCAAAAATACACACTAGGGAAAGGTGGCCAGGACTGCACTCTAGGCTAGTAATTCTAAGGTCAAGGGCTTTCCCCACCATAATATAATGCCTTACAATCAAAAATTTTCTTCCTTCTCGATTTATTTTGGGCATTTTATAAGCCCATGACTTCCACATTATGAGATTCTATGGTCATATGGTCTATTACTAGGTCTAAAGAACACAATTATAACGATGTTGCTGTGATGGAAGAAATACAAAACTATCATGTTTGAGTTCAAATTGTAATTACCTAAGGCTTATTGCCCTATCCTCAACCAGAAAAAAATGTTTTTTTTAAAAACATAGTCAAAATGTTGGCAAGAATTTGACCATGCTTAATTGATAAAATAGGGATTCATGAAGACACTTAAAGTGAATTCCCAAAGCAAATACTTTAATATATAATTAAGCTTTATGTAGGAAAGAAAACTTAGGATAGTGAAAAGGACATTAGACTTCAAAAGAAATCTCCGTTCTATTCCTAGATCTTGGCCTTGGACAAAATCATCTAATCTCTAAACCTTAATTTTGTCTTCTGTAAAATGGGGATAATACTTACAAATTTAAAGGACTTATGATTGGCTTGTGGTATAAAACAAACATGGCAAACGATGATACCTGACTAAGAAGCCAATTCTGAGGTTTAGTAGTTGTTAAAATTCTGAAGTTAAAAATTCTGTTCTTTATACTATACAGAGGCATCAAGGTAGAGGATAGACCTGTCCTTTGAGCCAGGAGGACCTGGATTCAAGTGTTGCCTCTGATACATACTTGCTGGGTAAACCTGGAAAAGTCTTTGCCCCAGGCAGGCAATTCTCTAAGATGGATGCGGTAATAAATGCTGAGCTATCTGCACTGACTGGGAAAGTTTCTCCCTGGGAGTTCCCTGTACTGATGAAACTGGTAAGTTCAGTTTAAAATAAAGGTTGTCAGGGGCAGCTAGGTGGCACAGTGGAGACAGCACTGGCCCTGGAGTCAGGAGGACCTGAGTTCAAATCCAGCCTCAGACATTTGACACTTACTAGCTGTGTGACCCTGGGCAAGTCACTTAACCCCATTGCCTAGCAAAATAAAATAAAGGTTGTCAATAACCTAAAAGACAATCTTCTTGAATTCAGAGAAATAAGGGGAAGATATGAACCAATACAAGATGAAATCAATAGAATAACATGCAAAAACTCCAAGAATGTGAAGGAAAAGCTCATTAAAAGGAAATGCTGACTGAAAAGCCAACAATGGCCAATACAATGGAAGTAGCAATGAACAATAATGAAACACACCTTCCCCCTCCCATTAGTGGAGGTGGGGGACTACCAGGGCAGAATGCTGCATGCATCTTTAGAAATGGTCACTCTTATCGGGTGGTTTTTTCTGTTCCAAGAAAATGTTCAATTTCAGGGGAGAAGGCAGAAAAAGCTCATTTAAAAGCTGCACTGCCTTTTTTCGTCATTAATTTCAATTATATAATTTCATAATTTATGTATAATTACATAATTTCAATTATAGATATACAAATATATAAACTGAAAAAAATCTCTACATGCCTTATAATTATAACATTTACTCCCTTTCTATAGCTTATTTGTACATTCATTTTTGCTTATGTATATATTGTTCCTTTTATATGGTCCTAGTCAGTATATACACTATATTTCTGGTTCTGCTTTCTTTCCTTTATATTCAAGTGGTTTTTAAAATACTTCTCATTTTTGTAATTTTTAAATGTCACTGTAATATATTATGTTAATATATTACAGTTCACTCAGTCACCCTCTGTCAGATACTTAGACTGTTTTCATTACTTGGAAATTTCTATGAAAACTATGAGCATGTATTTTTCTAGAGTTCTTTTTTTTCCCCCTCTTCATGAAAATACTCAAGGTATTTTTTCAACATGTAATTATTGAGTCAGAGAGTAAGCATGATTATTTTTATGCCTCTTATATTGCCATTCTGCCCTCTAAGAAGATTCTACCAACTGGAAATCCCACTACCAGTGCATGACATAATGATTTAATCACCAGTACATTAATATTGAGTTTTCTCACTTTTAAGTATTTTTGTCATCTGGTGATTGTTAAGTGTCACTTCAAAGGTATTTCAATTTATGTTGTTTTTTTTTTTCCCTGATTTGGAGTAAGGTTGAGTAAGTTCTCAAGTGGAATAATAAATCTATTCTCTATTGTAAACTATTTATAGCCTTTGCTGGCACTGAGTGGCTGGGTCCTTTTAATAAAGTTTATTATCAATTTCATATTTTTAGCAGTTATATTTGCAGAAATTATTATTATTTTTTTTATATGAGGCAATTGGGGTTGAGTGATTTGCCCAGAGTCACATAGCTAGTGAGTGTTATGTGTCTGAAGCTGGATTTACACTCAGGTCCTCCTGACTCCAGGGTCGGTGCTCTATTCAATGTGCCACCTAGCTGCCCCTGCAGAAATTATTTTTACTCAGTTTTTCATTTTGTTATATTTTTGTAGTGTTGAATTCAGTAAATGTGTACATATAACCTTGTCTCAAATAACTTCTACTTGCTATTTTATCTGCCTTCTACAACTGAGGCAAATATCATTCTCCTTCCTTTTACCCTTTATAGTCTAATTTCTTATAATTTTATGATCCAGTTGGAATTTGTGGTAATTTAAAAAAAAATAGATCAGACATTACAAATTAATATTCTGTATTCAGTGTAATTTACTCATTTCCAAAAAATGCTTGTTCTACTTACCATTCTTTGTTAGATAAAGACTATCTTCCCAGAAAGCAAAGCTAAATGAAAAAATGCCTTATAATCAAACAGCTAAATCAGAGTACAGTTTATCTGCCCTTTGAATAGTGCTAGAAAACTCAGTTACCTGAAGTCTTAGTTTCACTCTGAGGTTGCTGAGCACCTATTGGTGCAGGCTGAAGTCCTTGTGTATTGATTGGTGTTGCTGAGTGGATCCCCTGTGTTCCGATTGGTGCTGGCTGGATTCCCTGTGTTCCAATTGGTGCAGGCTGGATCCCTTGTGTATTGATAGGTGCTGGCTGGATGCCTTGGATATGACGAGCATGAGATGCATCGACTGTCATCAGTTGCATGGGATTTAGGTGCACTGTAGAGGCCACCCCAACGCCTGTCTGAGCTGTGATGGCAGAGTTCGGTGCCTGAGCTGAAACTTTAGTACCACAATACTGTCACTACACAAAATGAAAGGGCCTACCAATATATATTTTTGAAAGACTTCACAAAAAAACAAAAAAATCCTGGCTGTTCCCTCTCAGTCTATCATAGTGGAGTCAGGAAACCTGGATTTGAATCCCACCTTAAACTTATACTTTTCTTGTTCAATCATTTTTTTCAGTTATGTCTGACTCTTCATGATCCCATTTGGGGTTTTCTTGGCAAAGATACTGGAGTGGTTTGCTGTTTCCTTCTCCAGTTCATTTTACAGATGAGGAAACTAAGGCAAAAAGGGTTAAGTGACTTGCTCAGGATCACCCAGCTAGTAAATGTCTGAGTTCAGATTTGAACTCCTGACTGCAGGCCTGGCACTCTATCCACTGTACCACCTAGTTGCCTCAAACTCATACTAGCTGTAGCTAAATAATTTATCCCCATTTTGTAGACAGAGAAACTAAAGGTCTGAGAGGTTATTAATACTTGTATTGCCTACTTGATAGGGCTGTTGTGATAAAAGTACTTTGCTACCAACCTTCAAGTGCTATATAAATGTGAGTTATTATTAATGCAATATTTCAAACCATCATTTAGGCAAGTGACTTATTAAGGAAATGATAAAAAGATTTAAAAGACGAAATTATGGGTTTCACTGTAGGACCTTTGAGTTAAAAACAAAAAAAGACACTTGTAATAGAATTCGAAAAATTGGCTAAATACTACTCCAACATATGATAACAATAGCAACAACAATAATAATATCATTTATATAGAGCTTTAAGGTTTGTAAAATGTTTTAGATATGTTAATTTTATTTGATTTTCATAACAATCTTGTGAGCTAGGTGTTATTAATATTTCTGTTATACAGATGGGGAGACTGAAGGAGGTTAAATGACTAGCCCAAGGCCAAACAGCTAGTTAAGTATCTGAGGTAGGACTGGAATTCAGGTCTTCTTGACTCCAGGTCCAGCACTCTATTCCCTGTACCACCTAGCTGCCACATATATAAAAAGACCAAACAGTACTTGTTTTTTTCAGAATGATAAAGGTAATGAAATATTAGAAATCAACCATCCAAAATGCTCTTGTTGATACTCATCACAGGTTCCTATGAATATAAATTTTAAATTGTGTTTTAAAAGACTATAGAGTACATACTTGTGGGTTTCTATCTTTTTAAAACAAACCTCTCTGACACCCTCCCCCCCAAAAAAACCCTCCAAACACTTGCAACTTTTAGGGGGAAAATAAGTAGTAAGGATGGCAGTATTTCCTAGGAGCAACCAAGTTTTTCCACTGACTATTTAATTAAATACACAACTTTTCGAATTTCTAGTATGATTAGCCATGAAGTAGAAGCAGGCCTGGTCCTTGAGGCACACAATTTAACTGCAGAATGGCAAATGAAATTGTAGTCATTGTTCACAACCCCTTGATGGGCACTCTTAGACCTGAATTTATTTGTGTGAAGAGGAGAGAAAAGCAGGCATCTGAGGTTCAGGAATTCTCATATATGAATTGCTATTATGGGCAGGAACAGGAAAAGAAAAGTTTTTTCAAATTTTTGAGGTTTCTTGGGTGATGAAAATCACTACTAAGTACATTCACCAAGGAGGTCAAAGATGATGAAAAGATCTCATATACATAAAAATATTTATAGCATCTTTTGTTGTGTCAAGTAATTAGAAACAAGTTGGGTGCACAACCCATGGCTGAACAAACTGTGGTATATAATAGAATGGATTATTATTGTACATTAAGAAACAACTAATATGAAGAATTCAGGGAAACACAGGTAGATTTATATAAACTAATACAATCAACCAACAAGTATTCATTAAGTGTCTACTATTTGCCAGATGCTAGGGGATACTGAGACAAAAACCAAAGTCCCTGCCCTTAAGGAAGTAAATAGAACTAGAAGAGTTTACATAATGACCATGATGATGCAAAGGAAAACAACAGTGAAGGTCCTAAGAACTCTGACTCATGTACTGACTAGTTATGACTTCACAGGGTGAATTATTGGGATGGCAAAAGGTACATGCTGTCGCACATGGCCGATGTATTTATGCACTGATTTGATTTACTTAATTATACTTTGTTATGGGGGAGTGTTATTGGAAAGTGAGTTCAGTGTTTAAAAAAGTGAAGAAAAAAGCATCAGTGAAGCATTTATTTAAAAGTACAGTTTGATAATACAAGAAAAACCATCTGATGACTATCTACCAGGTTTTTGTAACCTTACAGTCCGACAAAAATGAATTTGACAGATGATCAAATGTCCTGTATCTGTAATTTAGGTAATTAAAGATACCTTACTTTTAAATTTTTGGCATTATGTACACAGGTCCAGTGATACTATGAATGATTACAGTTAACATTCTGATATTTTTAGCCAGCATTTGAATACTTTTAACTAGTATTTAAAAATAGGAAGATAAAGTTAATTTTTTCTGTAATAATGATTAAAGTTGGCCAAACTTTACCCTTTTCTCCACTGTATGGGTATGGGGATAGGGGAAGATATGCATAGTGTTGGGAATGGGAAAAGATGACTGATGGATTGATATGGTCCAGCCACAAGGCCCTAAAGATCCTGTACCAATCTGTGTATACACTTGCTTATAATTGGCATCATTAATAGCAGCAGCATCATACTAGTGAACATTGAGTGAGAACTTAAAGGTTTACAAAGCATTTTACATACCTTACCAAATTTCATTTGTACCTCCAACAATCATTCAAGGAAACAGGTTAGAAAAGGGCTAAGCCTTTATAAAGTGCTCATGTGTGCCAGGTGCTGTGTCATGCACTTTAAAATTGTTCTCTCACACAACCCTGGGAAGTAGGTGCTGTTCGTATCCTCATTTTGTAGCTGGGGATACTGAGGCAAGCAGAAATTAAGTGACTTGCCCAGGGTCTCACAGCTGGTAAGTGTCAGAAACTAGATCAATATTTTATCATTATATATTATAATAATGTTATTATTATTATACCCATTTGCCAGGTGAGAAAACTGAAGCTCAGAGAGATTAAGTGACTTGTCCAGGGTCACACAGTGAGGTTAGGGGCAGGATGTGAACCCAGGCTGTCTTTAACTCTACATCTTGCACTACACATTCCCAGCTCCCATGGAGAGGGAATTCTCTTTATCTTATGGCAGTATTTTTGGAAAGGTGCCAGCTCCCCCTGTTTACCCCTGAATAAAAAAACAATGCCAGCTGTTCTTCTAGCTTCACCTTCTTGCTGCATTATCACTTAGTCTCCAGTCAGTTTTTAGTATTAGTATCAACAAACTAGCTAAATGACTGGTTTGCTCTGTGGGCTGTGTTGCTTTTCCTTAAAATCCACATTGAACTTTAAGAACTAATACTCTAAAGTCTTGAGTGCTTCATAACTCCCTCTCACCCCCTGCGCAATCCAGTAAGGCCCGATTTATGTACATGAAAGCTATAACATTTAGAAAAAATTTGAGGGAATAGTCCTTACCTGGATATTGTCGGATAGTAGACACTGAACTTGTGATGGGGGTATATGTGTGTGCAGTCAAAGGATACGCAGAGGGTGGGTATGTTGGCAAAAAGTATTGGAACTGGACAGGAACAGATTGCCTAGAGAGAGAAAAAAAACTTTCTAAATATTCCACATGCTTATTCAATTATTTCCTCCCTCAGTCCCAGGATGACTTCTACTCTGCCCCAAAATACTACACTAATATAATACTGGCCCTCAAGTACTATTCATTTTGTTTATGGCCAATTCAGAAAACCTTCTGGTTCCTATCAACCAATATTGTTCATGTCTTCCTGTTCACATTTCAATCCTTTGAATACTCAGCCCTCTTTGGAAGCCATTTCACTCCTATGGTCTCACTGTGTAATTACAGCTACACCTTAGACCTTGAATGGTTTCTATTACTTATCACAGAAATGTATTCTTTTTAAAAATTCCCCCTTGATGTTTATTCCTTTAAAACAATTTTTTATAAAAGCTGTGCCACTTCTTAAAAGTTTCACAAGAATAAAACATAGATGAAAAAACTTATAAAGGCATAAGGCCCAAAACATCCAGCAAATTCTGTTCACTATAAAAATTCTGATTTTGCTAGCCTCAGAATAAGAGATTCCTGACATTTTCTTGATGAGAAGGTACTTCTGATTTCCCTTAAGTTTCATGACTGATGATAGCTAACAGGATGTTTCTGAGGGTATCTGTACACTGATAAGGAATATATGACCAGGGATATGGACAAGTAACCACCTTAGAAAAAGAAGTTCAAGTGAAAGGTTTAAGATGGACTGTAAAGGGATCCAGACCTTAGATCATAAGCCTTCTTGAGACAAAAACCTTAATACCTATAAAGCATCTAAGTAAACTGTATGGCTCTAAAAATGCTAAATGACAAGCATTTAAGTAACATTTAGGTAATTTAATATTCCCTACTTATAATTGATGTGTGTATATATATATACACACACATATATATATCTACTAAACTGAACTATCATAGATGCAATAGAAATACTATTTCAAATTGACTTTCCTGCTATCATGTTTAATAACTTTTTAGTATTCATTGTTACTGTTACCTGTGGAGATTTTGTGAAATATACTGTCAATTACCTGCTCAAGCTTAATGTATTACCTTAAAATGTCTAAATTTTGGCATTTTTGACTAAATATTTTTAAACCATATACATATCCCACATGATCAATGACATTTCTCATACACAGAAATTTATCAAGTAATCCAGGGGAGTTTTAAAACAATCCCACATGCACAATACCAGCATCTAAAATCTACATGTTATTTTGTGTCTTCTGATTTAAAAATACCGTAACAATGAAAAAAACAAACAAACAACTAAAGTATATATGGAGCATTTACACTTACCTGTTGTCATTTCTGGTTTCCATTGCAACAGGATTTGGAGAGGCCCGATGTCCAGGTATAGGGATAAGGCTACTCCTCTCCGTTGGATAATCTGGCTGGATCCGGGGAGAAGTGTGTGTGATCTGCTGAGGGACTACCTTAGCTATGAAGAAAATGAAATGGGGCCTTCATTTATTGTTCCCAGGGAAACACTACTGGTAATGTCTAGTTGAAACACCTGAATCCCATACGCAAGCATGTGGAGCTTGATTATTTTACTAACAAGGGGCAAGGAAAAAAATTTGTAATAAACATCATTAATGCTTAAAAATCTTCTACTCCACTGGTTCTAAAGACAGTCCCTAAAGCCCTTTTAGGTGGTCTGTGAGTCAAAACTATTTTCATAATAATACTAAGACATTTTAATTTCTAATATAGTTAACATCAATAAATACAACACTCACAAGTAAAAGCTCATTAGGGGTCCTCAATAATTGTTAAGAATGTAACAGGGTCTTGAGACCAAAAAGTATGAAGACCACTGCAGTGTCCCTTTCACCCACTTTTAAAACAACAGAATTGGGACATCAAAAGATTTCAACAGACTAGAACAATAGGGCAAATCTAAATTTAGTAAGACAAAATTTAATAAGGATTAATGAACATTTGAATATTTTATAAAATCAATTATAAAATTAACAGGATGGAGACAACTTGCTAGATGAAATTCACGTGAAAAGGACTTGGGGGTTTTAGTGGTTTAAAACTCAGTAATGTCAGAACACAGTCAAATAACTCATGAGATCCCAGGCTACATTAAAATTAGGCATAGTATGAATGCTGGTGGTTTCATTGTAATTGGTCAGACCACCAATATTTTGCAGAGTTTACAATACCATATTTTAGTAGGAACATTGACAAACTAGAGAAGGGCATCCAGGATTGTGAGATTGGAAATTGTTCCATATAAGATCCATCAAAAGAACTGGGAATGCTAATACTGAGGAGACCATGATAGCTGTCTTCACGTATGTGAGGGAGAAAAATGATTAAACTTGTTCTATTTAATCCCAGAAGGCAGAATTAACACCAATGAGTGGAAGGTGCAGAAAGGTAAACTGCAGTTCAATATATGGATGGATATATGGATACCTGTATCTATGTATACATATTTTAAACAACTATTGCTGTTCAAAAGTAGAATGTGCTACCTCTACACTGGTGAGTTCCCCATCACTAGAGATTGTCAAATGAAATCTGCATGACCACCTGATGGGATGCTGAAGCTGGGATTCCTGTTCAGGTACAGGACGTACCAGATAACCTTTAAGGTCCTTTTTAGGTCAAGACTTTCTAGATAAAGATGAAGAGACCTTCAACTTGGCCTCTGGCCTCCACTCTTCCATTCCAAAGGAATGTTCTTAATGTAAATACCCAATCACATTCTACCTAGCTCAAAGACCTTGAGTGACTCTGCTTTGCTTACTAAATAAACTCACTCTTAGGCAGCTTGGTGTAACGAAAAGGACACTGGATCTGGAGTCAAAAGAGATCTGAATTCTAGTCCTGGTTCCTGATACTTGGAGTATGTGTGACTGTGATTAAGTCATTTAGTCTCTATTAAGTCTCAGTTTCCTTATCTGTAAAATACTTACTCAAAGACCAGTTGTGAGGCAAGTGTTTTGTAAACCTTAAAGTATTACAGAAATAGGACTTATGAGGCTGGCACTCATCTGTGTTCCTGGCTACCTTTTCAGTCTTCTTTACTTCACATTTACCTTCATGTCTTCTTTGTTTCACTAAAGCTACATTACTCACTATTCCTTGACTTTGTCTTGCCTTCTCTCCTGTTTCCATGCTTCCTGGATGCAACATTTCCTATGATTAGAACAGAATGCCAGCCTCCTCCTTTTTTTAAGCTGATGAAACACTCCTTTATCCTTCAAGGCCCAGTACAGAGGCTACTTCCTCCATGGTATCTACCTTGAATCTCCCCCACCTACAAGTGATTCATATTTCCTTGATTTCCTTACACCTGTTTGACATCTATGCATATTACTTGTATATTATATAACCCCGGACTAGATGTAAATTCCTTGAGGGAAGGCATTTTTTTACCCCCAATACCCAGCAGTGTCTTTCCCACAGTATGCAGTTTGCTGAGTTGAACAGGGAAAAAACAAAGTATATTTTAAAGGCAGTAACTAGTCTCATTTCAAATGAGGGGGATATCTCTGTACTGGATGTACAGTAATATGGTACAATGTTAGGATGCTCTAAGTCCCAGGAATATCAAAGTCAAAATGTAAAGTTTCCACATCAAAGGAAAAACAATGTAAGCATACAGAAAGAAGGAATTCAAATACCAAGGAAACACAGTAAGGATCACAATACCCAACAGTTTCTACTATAAAAGAGAAGAGAACTTGGAATATGAAACACAAAAAATTGAGGCTTACAACCAAGAATAATTTCCCCTACAAAGCTAAGTATAATTCTATATGGGAAAAGGAGACATTTGACCTTCAAGCATTTCTGATGAAAAGATCAAAGTTTAGTAGGAACACTGAAATACAAACATAAGAATTCAGAAAAACCAAGAAAGGTAAATTTATCTGAGCAACAGGAAAGAGCCGTTTGATAATGTAATTCTAATACTGGGGAGAAAAACAAGTAGCCTTCAGAACTTAAATGTCTTCAAAGAGTAGTTAGGGAGCTAAAGAAAGAAAAATAAAGGTCCTGGGAGCAGACTGGCTCTATTCTGAAGATCTGAAGAGGGGGAAGAGAAAAGAGAATGAGAGGGGATATAAACTGGAGGAGGTGGTGAGGACAGCAGGCTATCTGAAATGGACAAAACAGGGCTTTACATAGACAAATAACCACATGCATGAATACATCAAACAACAGAGAAACAAGTAGGGATGGGAGGTGTAATTGAGGGAAGATAAAGAGGGAATGTTTGCATGCAAAACAAATTTCTTGGTCCTGAAAGGGAATTTAAAAGGAAAAAAGAAAACAAAACGACTAGACTCTAAGGGTGTGCATGTGAATCAGGGAATGGCTGAACAAATAGTGGTACATGAATATAAAATTATTGCAGTACTAATGAAAGGCGAGACTACTATAGAGAATCCTGGGTTGTATGAACTGCTATAGAACGAAATGAGCAGAACAAAGAGTACAACACAATGCAAAGAAAAACAACTTTGAAAGACTTAGCTCTGGTTGATGAAAAATGACCAAACATGTCTCCAGGGGACCGATGATATAACATGTTACATGCTCCTCTTGAAAGAGGGGTGACATACATTCGAGGTACACTAGGAGAAATACTGTATTTCTGAACATGGCCACGATATGGATTCATTTTGGCTGACTTCACTCATTTTTTTTTACGAGTTTTTTCTTTCTTTTGGTCCTTTTCTTAGTTTTTTAATTGTGGGATTGGGGTGGGTGGAGTTAGCAACACTGATGCCAAAAAAAGAGGACCATTGAAACATTTTTTTTTTAAATGTCAAAACCAAAGGAAATATAGACAAATAGGACAGTTTTTGAAAATAATGTACAGAATTTATTATGTACCTTAAAAGAAAACCAAGTAATATGAAATGGAAATTCATAGTTTCACATGCAATCCTTTTTATATATTCTGTTGTGAACATGGAAATGTTCTTTCTTTCTCTCTCTCTGATGATTATGTTCAAAATAAAAGGAAAAAAAAAAAAGAAAACCCCAACAGGTCTTCCAAAAAGTGAACTTATCAAACAAACATGCAGTTTATTAGAGCAAGATCAAAGGTAAATGAATCACAGAAGAACTGTTTTATTTACAACTAGTCAAAAGATTGAGGGAATCAGAAGACAATGAACATTAAGTAGTAGATTTCCTTCTTTAAAGGGCTATTTGGTGACTACTGGTGTAAATCTTCAGGGCATTTAGAATTTAATGAAATCCTTAAAGGTCAGAAATGCAAAAAGTCAGTATTACAGAAATATTAGATATGTAAATGAAAGCCAGTAGTTCTGTTCCAGTCTAGCTGTGATGCTTGTATGACTGTATCAGACTAACTATTAGTGTTGTTATTTCTTCAACTACTTCTACTGTGGTTACCTGGGGATAATTTAGGGAAGCAAATGGTAAACTGAAATTGATAGCACCAAAACAAATTGCCCTTATAAAAGATTTTCATAGTGTTCATCCTACGTAATCAATCATACCTATAGCTTTATATGAAGTGACTGTAAATTTACAATTAGTTTTAATTTGCATCTTGATGCACAGATATAAAGTAAAAGGATAATTTTATAATGGGACGTAGTAAGTTGTATAATAAGCTGAAAATGACTGATATTTTAGTGTTAGACATGGCTACGTATTTCGAAGGAGCTACAAGATATCAGAATATAATTTATCCCAAGTACCACTTAACACAATACCTTGTAACTAAGTGAACCAAGGCCCAGAGATGGTAGAGGGAGCCCCAGTTTCCTCATTGCTGGGCTGGCAGTAATAGAACCTGAGGAGGTAGCAGAAGTGGTACTGTCTCAGGTTTAAGGTTTCTTAGAGGTGGGCCAGAGCCAACAGAAAGGCTGTATCCTCAGCACTTGTACTGTCTGACCTCGTCCTAGGAGTAAGAGTGTTACCTTTGGGGACAGCACTGGATAGGAGTCATTGTGAGAGGCAGGAAAACCTCATCTTCCCTATCCCCCAAAAAAGAGCCAAGAGAGATAAGAAGGCTCACCCAAAAAGAGGGCACATAAAGCAGACATCTATATGTATGTCTTTTTTTTAAAAATGCTTAATCTACTTTATTTTTATTTATTTTTTTGGCTAGGCAATGGGGTTAAGTGACATGCTCAAGGTCACACAGCTAGTAAGTGTTATGTGTCTGAGGCCACATTTGAACTCAGGTCCTCCTGAATCTAGGGCCAGGGCCCTATCCACTGTACCACCTACCTGCCCCTCTTTTTTTTTTTTTAAACTACTTCAGGTGACAAAGTTTCTGATAATGAACCATGTCACTCACTTTAATAGCCCTTTGCCTAATCTAATGTCCCTTTCTCAAACCTGATCCTCCTTGACCTCTCTGCAGCATCTGGCACTTTGGAAAGCCATTTCTTTCTGGGAATTTTTTCCTGTCTAAGTTTTCATGATAATACTCTTTCTTGATTTTCCTCAAATCTGTCTAGCCATTCTTCTGGGTCTCTTTTTCTATTTCTTTAGTTATCATGCTCTTAGTGGGGTCCTTGGCCCCCTTCTCTTTTCACTCAATACTTTGTCACTGGATGATCTTATCAGCTCCTATAGGTTCAATTATCATCTATATGCAGATGAGGCCCATATCCATATGCAGAGAACTTTCATTTTAAGTAAATTCACATTGCAAATAGCACTGGTGCAGCCCCTTGCCAGGGGTCCTGGCTTCAGTGCTTGGGAAGACTCTCTGGCTGCAGAGGGGCAGGGCCACTTACATTAAGTGAGAAATGGCTGTAACCTAGCTCTCTATTAATCATCTCCAGCTCCCTCTTGGACATCTCACACTGGATATTCTGTAGGTATATCAAACTCATGTCAACAGAACTCACTATCTTCTCCTCAAAACCCCTCTAGTTCTAAAATTCCCTACTACTGTTAAGGGTAGCACCATTTTCTTAGTTCCGCAGCCCTCCTACGATGGTATCATAATCAACAACTCACTGTCACACACACCCCACGTATCCAGTCTATTGTCAAATCTTGTTCCTAACCTTCATAACATCTCACATATCCCCTTCTCTCCACTCATAGACACAACTCTAGTTTAGATTCTCATCCTCTTTCACCTACTGTAATGGCCTACTGAGTGGTCTACATGCTAAGTATACTATAGTTATTCTATCTGACAAGTAGAGAAATAGCAAAAAAATTTATAACCAAGTATGTGACACTACCAGAAAGTAACCTCAAGTCTCAATGGATAATATATTATTCTAGCTATTATGACATATCCACTATTTTAAGCTTATAGATTTTGGGAAGTAGGAGATCAATACTTTTCTAACTAGGTGATTTTAACCTTGGTTCTGTACGAGTCACTTTTTGCCTATCAATTCTTTTTTTTTTTCCTTTTTTTAACTTTGGAGGCACTGGGGGTTAAATGACTTGCCCAAGGTCACACAGCTAGCTAATAAGAGTCTGAGGCTGCCCCCAAATGTTTCAAAAGAATACAAAAATGAATTAGAGCTAGCTGCTAAAATTGACATAGACTGACCAAGAAAATAGAGGCTTTGCCAGAATGTCCCAAGAGAATTCTTTTAAACTTCCCTTTTTCCCCCTCTCCAAGACACTTACCAACTGGAATATTTGAAGTGGTCACTGCAGTAGCATGAGACGAATGAGAGGGCATGGTCATGGTGACAATTGTACTAGTGGGTGCTTGTGTGTGTGACACAGATCCTGGAAAGGAAAAATAAATCCTAAACAACTATTTCTACTATCCTCATATTTTCAAATTAGAGAAACATCAATATGGGTTAGGATTGAACTAGAATTCAAATACTCAAATCATCCCAAAGTAGGTAGGGAAAGGTCTGTTAAAGAAAATAAAGGAAACTTACTCTACTTTCTTTCTTTTTTTTTTTTTAAGAAAATATATGTATTTAAAATTTTCAATTCCAAATTCTCTTTCTTCTCCCCCCACTTCATCCTTTGCTACTATTTTTAAAAGAAAGTAGGGATACCACTATAAAATATTGGCATTTACCAGCTGTAGTTGCTGAGGGAATGGTGTTGGTGGCCAAAATGGGTGCCACAGTTGCTGCTGCTACTGGTGTACCACTACTGAAGATAGTCTTCTATAAAAGAGTAAACAAAACAACACAGAATTGTGCTAATCAGGAATATTTTCTATTCTGTTCCAATTTAAAATCAAACAGACTCTAAGAATGAGCAGATCATGAGTGATGACTTTTAATATTCTGGTTTTGGAGCCAATAAGCAAGATGTTAAATTAGAGTTCATCCTAAAGTTTTACCTGAGCCATGGTATGAAGCTGCTGTTTTGGTGTGCCGATAGCTGGATGTGATGGTAATGTGATTCTGGTTGTTGCGTCCCTTGATTGTGCAGGACGCTGAATACTAATTGCTGCAGAAGGTGGGTGCTGGATAGACAAGGTTGGCCGACTAAAAACACATAAGACATTATTTACAGACTACTCAAAAGACATGATTCATGGGCATAGCTCTTCAATGTGAGAGATATCGGACCTTTATATTTTATCACTTATGCTGTATTAGAGTGAGAATTGTATTATTTTTTTAATTTCTAAAGAACTAATTTTAAGCCACATCAGACCTTTGACCAGATTACTGAAATGAATATCCGGCTAAATTGTACTCTTCAAACTCACTGAAGTGTCATTAAAAACATTATCCCAGTGCATCACGAATCATCTAAATTGATTTTTAGTCATCATTAACAAGGCATTTTCTAGATTCCTACTCCCCAGGATTTTGAGGATAAAATGAGATACTTGCAATTTCCAAACCTTAAAGCGCTATATAAATGCTAGCTATTATTATTCTTAAAAGAGAAATAATTATCTTCATTGCTGTGATGTGGAATATTTTTAAACTTTTGATTTATTAACATTTATAAATTATAGTGTTCAACTGCAATGCTACAAATGAAAAGATGTTTTGCAAAAACGTTTACTTAATAATTTCACTCTTTACACTTATATTGTGGGCAGGGCATTACCATTTCACTCCCACTCGCTTTGACAAAAAGTACTAAAATTCAAGACAGATTCATTCATCAGTCTATGAAATCTTTAAATTTGTTTGTTTTTTACCCAAGAGATTGGAAGCATATATGCTGTTATGAAAATAAAGAGCTGAACGGTTTTTGTTTCTCATTACCTCTGTTGAAAAATTAAATGGGATATTAAAAAAAAAAAAGAAAAATTAAATGGGGAAAACCCCTAGAAATTACTAGTTTAAACAAGGCTTAGGGTTATTGGTAGATTTCAAATTCTATATACTGTAAATGCCTATAATTAATAGCTGGCTGTCTTTTAAACAATGTTTCTGTATCAACAGCACAGAGTATATGTATTTCAGTCAAGATCAACGGTATTTATTACAGAGGAAAATGAAATGACACTTAGAATTTGCTGACCACTCCCAGTCCTCTCATTTCTAAACTCATACTTAAGTTGTTCTACTTTTGAAGATAATTTATTCAGGTGCTCCAGTTTAGTCTTACAGTTATATAACAATTCTAAAATTTATTTAACAAAAAATTTACAACAATAATGTGAAGCTGAACTCATTAAAAATTCTTTCCTAAAGATATCCAGCCAAAAGTTTTATGGGTGACTTGGAACTAAGATTAGATTTCATAAGTTCATTCATTTGTCACTGGATCATACAGCACCTCTAAAGAGTCCAACCTAGTCTAGGAATAACAGTAGAATACACAATAATATATTCTTCTCATGCCAATTCCTTTCACTATTTTTTTAAGACAAGCTCTTAAAGTATTATAAAATACACTATTAACCTCTTTAAATTTCATATCACTTTGGTTTTCATGTTCTCCACTCACCTAAGGGTTGAATCAGTAGCATGAGCTGCTGTTGTTGTAATGACTGGAGACTGAGCTCTGGTGGCTGAAACAGTTGCTACCACAGCAGGAGGGATAGTATTTGAGGTGGTCACTGGGGGACGAGACTGCAAATAGAAAAAAAAAGCATGTCATTTTAAAAGATGAAAAGTTAAATGAGGAATTTGTAATGCTGTACTTAGAGGAAAAAGCTGAGATAGCTCAGAAAAACAAATGTGTTTCTTACCAATGTTTAATGTCCACGATTCAGAAACCAGAAGGAAATACTGATTTTCAGGGTGGTTATGGATGGAACAGTATCATCAAAAGCCAGAAAATTTCAGAGGCTGAACTTTGTTTGGAGAGTTTTGTGCTCAAATTTCCAAATATAACCACAATCAAAATTCTCTTCTCCCATCCTTACAACTCAAGAGTTAGTCCCAAGATTTGTAATTTACCTACTGTTTTCTTCTCTGCAGACATCCTGTTGAGGAGTGTCATATTACAAGATTCTTTTCAAACAGACTCCAGTGGACAGCTGGACAAAACAAGCAGTTAGTTCTCAAGGCAAACTCCATTCTTCAAAAGGATGGGAAAGGTCCAGGGTGGCTATAACCTGCTGTACATTTCCACATGGATGTCCAGCCATAGCTTTCAGTGTTAGGTCTAAAACTATACTTATCGTTTTTATACCCCACACCCAGACTTTTTAATATTTTATTGTCTAACCTGTTACCTAAGCTTGAATCCTTAGGAGTCATGTTTAATTTCTGCCTCTTCCTGGGAGGTAGTGTGGAACAAGAGGGGAAAGGAGGGAGAAGGAAACAAATTTGCAATTAGAGGACCTGGTCTTGTATCCTAGTTCTGCAAATTACAATCTGAGTGACCTGGAGCAAATCCCTTAACTTCTCTGGGCCTGTTTCCTTATTATAAAATGAGGAGTTGGGGGGCAGCTAGGTGGCGCAGTGGATAGAGTACCAGCCCTGAAGTCAGGAAGACCCAAGTTCAAATCTGGCCTCAGACTCATAACACTTACTAGCTGTGTGACTCTGGACAAGTCACTTAACCCCAACTGCCTTAAAAAAAAAATGAGTTGGATTGAATGACTTCTAAGGTCCCTTCCTGCTATAAATGTATGGTCCTATGATTTTTGCCCCCACAACTGATCCTCCCACAATGTTTCTACTTATCCCTTTCTTTACACTCTCACTGCTACCAACACAATGCAGACCCTTATGCCCTCAGATGATTATTGCCTGTCTCTGGTTTCTCCTCCTGCCACTTTATCTTTTTACAAAGTAACCAGATTAATCCCCCCTTAAATAAGACTTTAAGAATTAACACTCCTTGGCAGCTCAAAAAACTAAAATGACTTCTCACTGCCCACAGTATAAAATGAAATTTTATTTTTAAGTCTTGCATGATCAAGGACCTCATTAACCCTTTCAATTTCATTACCTACTATTCTTTTATATCAATCTTTTCCTCTAGCTAACCTGGTTTACATTAGAATCCCATCTTATGCAGAGAACAGATTCTAAAGTCAACACATCAGGTGAAAAACATGTAGTCAAAATGACTCCACCAACTGTTTTTGGACACTAGTTATGGCAAGGAGGCCCTGCTACTGAGGGGATTAGAACTGCAAGTGGCAGTGAGAATTGAATGAACCACATCAATTCTATCATGTGACTCAATTCTGGAGCTAGTTCAGTTCTCCTTCTATTTAATTATGGGTTTAGTCCAATTTTTGTCTTGTGTGAAAATTTTATTCAATTGTGGAAATTGTGAAAAAATGTTATTGCATTGTTTGAACCTAGCCCTGCACATCTGGGAAGTTGGACCACTTCTACTTGCTGCTTAGAGACCCTTAACTAAGGATCTGGGTTATGCTGAGCAGAAATCCTGTTAAATCTGAAGGTTGATAACAAGGAGTTTTCTCACAATTACACATCGTAAACAACCATTATGCCTTCTCTGAAAACTGGCCTGTAGTGCTTAATCAGTTATTGTATCCATGTTCCTTTGATTGAATACAAACATTTGTGGGGAGTGGGACACCTCCTCTTCTGATTTTAGAGAATTGCACCTGTTCATTCTCCCCATCCCAACTAGGAAAGTCCTTAATCTTTTTTCCCGATTAGACATCAGATCACCTAATTTTGTATCCTGGTTGTTTTCTTTTAATTAATTGGTTTTATTTGATTGTTTTTAATGCATAAAAATCTGTCTCTCCATGTATTCTTAGTCCAGTGCCAAAGCTAAGGAAGACCACTGGTCCTGATTTGTTGGGCAATTGGTATGCGTTGCTTAATAAAGGGATATGCTTGGAAGCTTGTACCTTTGGTTTCTTAGACATTTCATCTTTCACCTACCACACTACTCCCCAGTCTCTCTATCCTTCCTCTGAACTCCTCTATGGTCTGCATTTAACTGTTTGTGTTGTTTTCTCTCTGCAACTAGAATGTAAACTCCTCAAGAATCAAGACTGTGCTTTAGTCCTCTTTATATTTCCTGGAGCACCTACCACCAGTGGTGGTCAATTACTCAATACATGTCTGTTGATTGACCCCCCAAGGTCCATCACCTCCCAAGACCATCACCTGCCTGGATTGGCTGATGAATGATGTGCTGCACTGCTGGCTGAGCTGTAGCTGCATTTGGCAACTGTGAAGTTGGCCTCAGGACTGTGGTTACCTTAGAACTGGACATCACAGCAGCAGCAGCTGCACCTAAAACATGAAATTGCATTCTTAATTAATAAAATTAGTTCATATCTCAGAAATGTAATTAATAGCCCAATTCTATCCATTAGAAAAAATAACACTAAAATAAGATAATAGGCTAAGTAACCTCCAGTTACCAGGAAGTTAGGTGGTGCAGCAGGTAAAGCACCAGACCTAGAGTCAGGAAGATCTCAGTTCAAATCTGACTTCAGATACTTACAAGCTGTGTCACCCTGCACAAGTCACTTAACCCCTATTTGCCTCAGTTCCTCATCTGTAAAATGGAGACACAATGGAGAAGGAAATGGCAAACCACTCCAGTATCTTTGGCAAGAAAACCCTATGGACAACGTCCATAAGGTCATGTACAGTCATGCACAACTGAACAACAAACTTTTGGTACTTAACTGAAAGAATTAGGTAGTTCAATACAGTAAAATGCTTCTACTTTTCAAAAGGTAAATATTTACTAACTACTATGAATAGACACTGGACCTATGATTTCAGTGGTAGAGGGAAACCCCAGATGAAGAAATTCCCTATACCACTGCAAGCCATTACCATCTCTGAAACTTCTAGTCTCGGTTGCCTCGTTACTAGTTGCCTCAGGTGCTGAGAGGTTCTGTTATTTGCTCAGTCACAGAGGCAGGGCTTGAACTCAGATCTTCCTGTCTAGGCCATTCCTCTATTATTATGGATGTTTTCAAATTTGGAAAAAAAAAATTGTGTGTGTGACCAAAAAAAAAAAAAAAAAAAAAAATTACCCAAAATATTTATGGCCCATCTATAAATAAAACTGGCCTACAGAAATGTCTAAAAAAAATTGTTTTATTTTTTGCTTCTCTACCATCATTTGCATTTTTTGATGACTACAATGGTCTGTTTTCAATTGACTTTATCTGCTACAGAAAGTGATTACCAGACGAGGGGATATGTGGTGAAGAAAGTTGTAAGATCAATTTAAATCAATCACGCTGATAAGCTATGTAGATTTTATAAAGGACTGAATATATAGAAAATATATACAACAATATTATGCCACTCATTCACTTGATATTTCAGGACAAAAGACAAACAGGAACATGACAGAAATCTGGTATAGTTTTGACTTTACATGCAAACTCACATAACTGTTGTGTGAAACATTTATCCTTCAAATAAATACTCTGAGATATTTTGTGCAACACTCTACATACCATCATAATAGTCTGTCTGGTTGTCCTATTAAAAGATCTGGGACAAAAGCTGGCATAATTTACCTCGAGGTAAATGAGAAGCTCCAATGTGAAGAGGGGGCCCAGGAGCACTACTGCGAATAATGGACATCTGTACATTTGTTGTCATAATATGATGCAAATTGCTGGGGTGTCCCTGCAATTAAAAAAAAAAAGAGTAACAAGGTATTTAATGTGCTTGTTTAAAGCTTAAAAGCTGACTGTAAATCCTTTGTGTGAAGGAGAATTGCTTTCAGACAGTAAGCACACAAAGGCCAAGTACTACATGGAATGAGGGGTTTAATAAGTGGTTTGGACAAATAAATTTTCTAAGAACTCATAGACTGCTTCTGGCTTAGTTAATTAGTAAGATGCATGTAGATACATATAAGATGTGGGAGTTTTAAATACACAATCATTTACATTCCCAATGTTGCTATTTATCTATTATGTTTATCCTGGCCAAACAAAACTTATTTCTGTCCTGATCATTTCTTTGCCCACTCTTCCACTATGAAGCCCTTCTGGACTCACTAGAGTATAACTATCAAGAGGTAAGAACAAACAAACAATAGCAAAATGTGTCACTCATTTCTGCTCCCACCAGCTCTTCATCTCCCAAGTATATTTCCACCTTCCTCTTACAAATGACATATGATATAATATGCCACAATGGCATTCAATGAATGAAAATCAAGAATAGCCTGGTATCTTATTTTGTAAAACAGTAAGAGGAAGAACCTGTTGTCCACTGATTGTTGCCACAGGAATGGCTGAAGCTTGAGGGATGCTACTCTCCATAGTCACAGTCACTTGCCCTGGGACCTTGGGAGGGAGTGACAGAGTAGAAGGTGGAGCAGGAGCAATGGGACGGCTCGGCATGGTGGGCTTCAGAGGTGGCTGCAAAGAGAAATAATATCAATAATTTTTCAAGAGAAATTCATCTTTCATCCAAGTCCTTAAATCAAAAGTTAGAAGGGAAGTCAGAGTTCATTTTAATTTGTATGTAAGACTGGGATAGCCATTCCACCCCAACATGAATTAGTGGGATACTGGAATTGTCCAGAGTGATGATGCTCAGGGAGAGGGTTCCTCAGAAGTTGAAAAGAAGACCCCAACGATCCCAAATTCCAAAATACTCCCATGTGATTGTCATTGGCTTCAATCAATTAACAATTATTCAATTGTTCAATATGTGCCAGATGCTATGCTAGGCATAAAGGCAAAAACGAAGTCTTTTTTGCCCTTAAAGAGATTTACTCTATTGGTCAAAAAAACATGAAGATGCATAAGTACAAGTAAAGCAGAGATGAGGCAGTTTTGGAAAGGAGGGTACAAGTATCTAGGAGATGAGGAAAGACTTCACAGAGAAGATGGAGATGAGTTTAAAGATACTAAGCCTCTAAGAGGTAGTGACTGCTGAGGAAGGAATGCATCCTAGGCAGGAGGCCATGCCTAGTGCAAAGGCCCAGAGAGGGGAGGAAGAATGCTGTATGTGACAATAGTAAGAAGGAAAGTTTGGCTGGACTAAGGTGGATGTGAAGGGGAATAATGTACAAGAAGTCTGGAGAGACAGAATGGGGGCAAGCTGTGAAGAGTTTCAATGGCCAAAGAGTATATTCTATCTTATATGTAACTGAGGGACACTAGAATTTTTTGAGTAAGGGAAATGGTCAGACCTGTGCTTTAGGAAAATGCCTTCAGCCACTCTGCAAAGGCCAGAGAAGACATAGAAGAGATCTGAGGTCGGGAGACATATGGAGGAAATTGTCACAATCTGGGCAAGAACTGATGGGAGCCTGAAATGTGATAATAGTTGCTTGGTGGAGAGGAGAAGACAGATGTAAAAAATGTTGTAACTGACTGGATAAGGGGAGTGAGAGTGAGGAGATGAACATGTCACCAACAGAGTGAACCTGGATGACTAGAAGAATGTGGTGTCCTTAACAGAAACAGACAAGTTTGGAAGTGTTGAGGTTTTAAGGGAAAGGTTCTGTTTTGCACATGCAGAATTTGAGATGTTTCTGAGATACCCAGTTTCAAATGTGTCTAATAGGCAACTAGAGATGAGCAACTAAAATTCAGGAGAATGACAAAAGCTGCAGAGATGATAAACCCACAGCAGCTGTTAAGATCATCAAGTAAGAAATTTGTTCCCTCAAATACTTAACCTCCAAGTTCAGAAGAAGATGCTGTGGAAAGAGTTATGGATCTGGAGTCAGGAAAATCTGAGTTCAAATCCGGCTTCAGACACTTACAAGTTGGGTGACCTAGATAAGTCACATAATCTCTAAGCCTCAGTTTCCACATCTGTAAAATGGGGATAATAGCACCTACTTCCCAGAGTCGCTGTGAGTATAAAATCATAGATAGATAGATAAATAAGACAGATAGATATATAGATAATTATGAAGTGCTGGTCAAATCTTAAAGCACTAAATAAATGCCAGCTATTATGATCACTACTCAACTCCTATGGCGTCCTACATCCCACCTAAGCTACTCACAGAGATAGTGGTCAACCCTTGACCTTGCCATCACTCATAGTTGTTCTGTTCTATGTTTGTGACTCCAAAACTCCTTTTTGTGATCATAATCTTTTATTGTTCCATGTTTCCCTCTGCATCATAACCTCTAACCTGTTCTTCAACCCCACCATGACCTCAATTTCCTTCACCCCTTAGTTCCTTCCCAGGACACCAGTCCTATATTGGCTACCCTCTCCTCCCTTCCCAATCTTGTCCCTTTGGTGAACTGGTTAATTCTGCACTATCAAGGCAGCAAAGCGGTGCAATAGATAGAATGCTGGGCCTGGGGTCAGAAGACTCAGCTTCCTAAGTTCAAATCTGGCCTCAGATACTTACTAGCTGTGTAGACCTGGGGCAAGTCACTTAACCCCGTTTGCCTCAGTTTCCTCATCCATAAAACAAGTTGGAGAAGGAAATGGCCAACCACTCCTGTATCTCGGCCAAGAAAACCCCAAATGGGGTCATGGAGAGTCTGACACAACTGAACAACAACAATCCTATATTCCTGATTCCCTTGCTTTCTTTTCCTAATGCAAATTATACTTTGCCAATACTGAATTATTCCCACCATCCATCTCCTTTACTCTTGTTTATGTACTGTTGTTTATAGCTGGGAAAAGTCACAAAATTGTGCTAATATAGTCCATTACAAATTTATATTAACATCATCTCAACTGGACTCTCACTGCAGCAAGCCAATCCTTCTAATCAACTCCCTATCCCACTCACCACAGAGACTATTCCAAAACATTTTCCTCTCTTCTTAAAGCTCCCCTCGCCTTCCCATCCCTTGAAACCTCCATCCCCTGGCTTCCTTCAAATCTCAGCTCAAGTTTTACCTTCTGCAAGAAGGCTTTTCCAGTTCTTCTTTACCTCAGTGCCTTCCCTCTGAAATTATCTCCAACTCATCATGTCTGCATCTTGATTGTACACAAATGTTTTCATTTTACTTCCCCCATGAGACTGTGAACTCCTTGAGAGCAGGGAATTTTTTTTTTGCCTTTCTTTGAATCCCCAGCACTTAGGACAGTGCCTGGCATATAACAGGTACTTAATAAATGCTTATTGACTCGACTCTCCTGAACTTCAGGCCCACTTTGGATATCTTAAATTGGATGTCCTGTTAGCATCTCAAACCCAACAATATTCAAACAGAAGTCTTCCTGCCAAAGCCCTCCTAACTTTGATATTGTTGAGGATACCACCATCTTCCCACTGACAAAGTTCATAACCTTGGTGTCATCTTCAGCTTCTCACTTGAAATCACTTATCTCATCTATTGTCAAATCTTGTCATTTTTACCTTTATTACATCTCTCACAAATAGGATCAATGTCCTAACCCTTTCTCCCATGAAAGTTAAATTTGCTTTTCCTTAAAAAGAAAAAAAAAAGCATTAAAATCACCCTTGAAATTTGACTGGCTCAAGGGACCAAAGGTCTAGGCTTCTGACATCACTTTCTGGTTGCCTGAATACAAACCAGCCACAAGAAGCTGCATGGCAGACCACAATAGGCCACTTAGATAAGGGAATTTGGCACCACTGAATCAATCCAGGATGTCCTCAATGCACATCCTTGTTGGATAGCTTTCTTCTGTTGTGGCTTAATAAATCTCCTTTTGTTAACTGCTGAATAATCTACAAGTGTCTTATTCTTCTTACACTGAACCTAAACTGATTTAACACTGGTCTAAGCCAGAACTTACATTTCTCCACTCTCATAGTCACCACCCTAGCACAGACCTTGATCGCCTTTTGCCTGCAGTAATTTTCTAATTAGTCTAACTAGCTCAAGTCTCTTCCACTCCAGTCCATCCTCCTTTAGGCTGCCAAGGTGATTTTCCTAAAAAGTCGGTCTGTCTATGCCACACACCCACCCGTTGGCTCAGTGGCTCCCTACTATTCTCAAGATGAAGTATAGGGTTCTCTCTGTTTAGCACCTAAAGCCTATAGCAACCTGCCCCCTTCCCACTTTTCCAGTGTTTTTACATTTTATTCCTCTCTATGTAGCTTCAATCCAGTGACACTGGTCTCCTTGCTGTTCCCCGAACATGATATCATATGTCCCATCTTTGCCTTTGCACTGGCTGTCTCCTATCCTTGGAAAGTTCTCCCTCCTGTCTCTTAGCTTTCCTGGCCTTATACAATGCTCAGCTCAAATCCCACCTCTTGGAGGAGGCATTCCCATCTCCTTCAACTCCTAAGGGCTGCTAGTGCCTTCCTTCCAGATGACCTTCCATCCATTCTGTATATGTCTTATATATACATAATTCTTTATACAATACCCCCCATTAGAATGTAAGCTACTTGAGGGCAGGGACAGCTGTATTCTTCCTTTCTTTGTTTCCCCAATGCTTTGTATATGTGGCACATAGTAAGCACTTAAATGATAACTGACTGATTGAGAATATGTAGAGATAAAAGGGCTCAGGACAGAACCCTGAATACAGCCATAGTTAAAGGGTGTATGTAATATGGATGATGAACCAGCAAAGGAAACTAAGAGGAAAACTGAGATACGTAGAAGAACCAAGAGAGGTAACATTGTCACAAAAACCTTGAGAAGAGAAAGTATCTAGGAGGAGATGATGGTCAACAGTTTCAAATAATGCCTAGGGATCGAGAAAGATGAGATCAGATTCAGAAATTAAGAGAATGAAATTAACTTCAAAAGCGATCATGGAAAACATCTAGTAAAAACCGATTGATGTGTAATTGCCAAGCAGCACACAAAACAACTGAACACTGCAGAGTAATCATAAAAAGTTGGAGATGACCATGAGGCCATATGTCTACAGATGTTTGGGAGGTTGCTACAAGTTATAGGTCTGTTTTCTGGTCATGGCTCAACATGAAATTTGAACCTTTCCTTTAAGTTACCTTCATAAGTCCCTCTGAAAATGAAAGTGGTACTGCTGGAGTCAGATGTGCTGCTGGTGGGGCTGCGACGGTGACCGGAGCCCCAGAGGGCACTGCATGGTGGGGAGGCAACATTTGGACCTGTGGATAAGGTCGCACCACAACTGGCTCTTGCTTTTCTTCACGAGACTGTAGAGAACTACTGGAGCCCAGGTGCTCCCTGGGTGTGATTTCTGAATCTCGATTAGATTCATCGTTAACTAATAAAGACATTAAAGGTTAAAATTAGTTTTCTCTAGCATCACATTACATTTTCTACAAATCAATGAATACTGTCATGCAATTCCAATTAGGTTTGAGGACTGCCAAGTAGCTCAGGTCTTCAATGAACCTAAACAGCATGGAAATTTGGCTGTTTCACTATAATCACAACTTAACAGGACACCTTCTTTATATTTTTCAGTTTTGCCTAGTTTAAAATTTCTACCTCATGAGAATTTGTTACTTGAGAAATATTTCACAATTTAGACTATGGGAAACTATTAGGGAAATGGCTTTCTGGCTTAAAGCCCACTATAGTAATGTTCAATCTTGAGAGGTAGGTAAGAAATTACTACAATGTAAAGGCAAAAGGCACAAATAAAACATATTTAAAAGAAGAATTTCTACAATGTACATAATCATTAATGTAAACATTAAGAATAGCAAAAGGAAGATAAATTCTGACCTTTGGTCCCAGAGAACAGATTATGAAATATCTCTTCATCCTCCTCTAAGTGGGGATACGAGGGATTCCAGGGTCAAATCACGTGTATCCACTATCAGGGGAGGTCACTCTATAGACTAGTTTTGCTCCCCTTTTTTAGTTACAAAGGGGAAGTCAGCATGTATGTGTGTTTGTGTGTTCTATAGCCAACAATGATTTAAAAATAAAACAAATACAACTTATTTTAAAAAATTAAATATTGTAAAAAACAGCACCAATAACAAATCTCTTGGCCTACACATAAAATAGTAAACCAGTATACTCTCATGCAGGATGTAAGCATAAGTCTGAATGTATAATCTGTTATATTCATGAAGAGCTCCAAAATTATTATAGAAAAAATAAGAATGCTATAAATTACACAAAAGCTATTTGACAAGATGGGAAATTCATTCTCTTAAGGCAGGCCTTCCTTAATATTTTCTTACTTTTATTCTTTAATTCTCTTGGGCAGAGTTTTTATATTTTACTATTTTAAATCTTTTATCCAATTATGGCAAAATAATGTCTGCATAAAATATTATAAAGCCAAAGTATCCTATTTATGTTCAAAATCACTAATAACTACATATGGAGTATTGTAATAGCTAAAGCACTTTACTCACAACATTTCATTTGATTTCATCCTCACAACAACCCTGCGAAGCAGATATTATTATTATTATGTCCATTTTATAGGTCAGTTAACTGAAGTTGATATGACATGCCCAGGGTCACACAGCTGGTAAGTGCTGAGACAGGTTTTTCTGACTCAAGTCTAGTACTCTAATCACTGCACTACACTGTAAAATATCTCAAAGATATGATATGAGAAAAACACAAGGGAGCTGAAAAAGATAAAGAGAAGGGAAACAGAAAGAAAATAAGAGGATGTAAATTTCCATATATAGATGGAGTAACATAGAAAGATGCAAGTTGATTAGTCTAAAATCATGCAGTCTATAGAGAGGGTAAAAATAGATACATTTGACAAATTCCCATATCTTAGAAAAAGGGAAAATGCCCTGAAACTCTTAAAAAAATGTAGTCTTAAAACATTATCATTCAACAAATCTTTATCAAATGCTTACTACATAGGTGCTATGGGAAATATAAAAATCAACAAACCACATTTATTGTCCTCAAAAAGGTTGTAACTTTAAAAATGTAATGGAATATTACTGCTTCATAAGAAATGAAGAGAGGTTTGCAGAGAAACTTGTGAAGACATATAAACTAACACAGAATGAACAGTTTACACAATAACAACACACAACTTTGAAAGACTTAAGAACTCTGATCAATGTACTAACCAATCAACCATACAACTGCACAATAACTAGTTTTGAACATAATAAATGTAGAAATTTATTTTGCTCAATTATACATATTTATTATACTCATTTGGTTTTCTTTTTCTAATGGAAGATGAGAAAGGAGAAGGGAACTAATGAAAAAGAAAATGAGCCTTTGAAGTATTTTTTACATTCATAGAAGAAAACAAGAGGAAACAGGGCAATTTTGAAAGTTACATGTTATATTTATCATATGCTTAAAAGAAAAAGCAAGCTGTACATAGAGATTCACAGTTTCATATATAAGCCTCATTTATTTTGTATATGGAAGTACTTATTTTATTTGGTATTTAAGTTCCAAATAAAGAAAAACTTTTAAAAGTTTATAATTTAGTTAGGAAGCTAAGACATACAAAATAATTAAAATATATAAGTGGTTTAAAACTAGGAAAAAGGGCATGCCCTAGGGAGGTTAATACACCTAGCTGTGGCACTGAGTAATCAGTATTGATGAGAAAAGGGCAGTCTCATAGACCATTCTATCTAGCTGAATCCAGATCAGATTATGCTTGTTTCACATTTCATGCAGTTATCCAATCCAGCCATGTTCCCATCCTGCTACAGGGCGTGTCCTTACTCTTTGCAATGCTTGCTCTGGAAACAGTAATCAATCAAATCAATATTACAGTTGCTTCTGGAAAATAGGGTGCCCTTTCCCACAGACTAGTGGGCCATACTCATCATATGCTTGTAACTCTCTACACTAATTATACCAAAAGACATCTCCTAGGCCAGCATTCTCTTAGCTATGCTGTCTCCCAAATTAAAATGTAAACTCCTGGAAGGTAAAGATTGTTTCCTTACCACTTAAATTTACTGAGAAGGAAGAAATCACTTCAGTAGGAAGTGATCAAGCAAAGGGGCAAAAGTGGCTGTATTTGAGCTGGAATCTTGAAAGCATGTGACAGGAAGAAACAAAGGTTCTCACAAACAAACTTATGAAACTTGCTTGTTACCATCAAAGAAATGAGAAAAACTGAAATATAAATAAGTTCTAGAATGGTTTAGAGAAATTCATAGAAAGTTAAAAAAAGCTAGATGGCTAGTATGGTGAGACAAGTGTTATAGGGACCCAAATTTAAATCCTACTACTGAACCATCCTAATTCTGTGTGCCTTTGGGCAAATGCCTGAAACACTCGGTGTCCCCAAGCAATTCTTACATATTAGAAATTGATCTGAAATTTGCTCACAAAAGAAACAAAAAAATCTTACCTCACATGGCTGCTAGAGGGATGAAATAAAACAAGGTATATAAAGCCCTCTGTTATTCTTATAACATGACAAATGTCAGCTTTTACTTTGAAGTCATATAAGTCAACCATACATTCTTACATGTACCCAAGACCGAGGGAACAGAAATGCCAGTTTAACATAATGAAAGTGTCTAATAAAAGATCTACTTCTTTAGCCTTTTTGTATTTATCTTCTCTAATACTCATTTGGCACTTATAATGATAAGCCTTTTAGGGAGTAACTAGACATATCTCCTAAAACTATAAATTCCATGAGAACCTCATCTTATTTTTCTTCCTATCTTCCACAAGCCTACCACTACAGTACCTACAGAGAAAGGAGGCATCCAATATTAATATAATTTCTCTTCACTTCTGTCATACCCTAATTTTTTTGGTATAGAGACCAGTAATAGTACTGTGATTATGGTTTTGAATCTAGCAAGGAACACTATAGTCTTCAAAGAACTGAAATTGAGGCACCCGAAGGGTAATGGAGGGGAACATAGTGGATGCAAGAGATGGCAAACAAGCAATTACAGGATGTTAAAGAAATGTATAAGCAAAAAAAGAAGTTGTCTGAGTCACTTAGAAAGAGCCAAAGATCACTGATTGAGAGTCCTTATTAAGTAAACTTGTGGAAAACTTATGGGAGGAAATGGACAAGAGTTACATATGGCATGCAGGCACAGACGTACTGGGATTTGCATTACTGGAGGGAAAGTCCACTTTGGGGAGATCACACTTCTCATGCCTCAGTGTGTTTTGCATTCTTAAACCTCTCATTATTAAAACGACTTTTCTCCAACTCTCTTAAGTGAAATTGCCAATTTCTATTTTTCTGGTAAAGTTACATCCACAGCATGATTCCATTGGCCTCAACCTACTCTGCCTTCCACAACCTTTGAAAAACACACACACACACACACACACACACACACACACACACACACACACACCCCCATACAGAGACACATATCCTGAATGAATGCAAAGTAAAGCATTTTTAGCTAAGTTCTTTGACACTCCATTAACTGCCCCTTGAACCTAGTAGGCTCCATGAGGTTGGACTTTCTTGTCTTCAGTACCTAATACAGAGAAGGAAATTAATGCTCACTGGTTGAACTAAACACCCCTTTGAGGTTAAGTTTATCTTTTCCTTTAACTAAAAGAGAACCCAAGAGAAATCAGGAGACTTATTCAAGGGCAGACCCAAGTTGTGGAAAGAGTACTTCATACACTATAAGTAAGTCATAAATCCTAGATTCCAATTAATCTCAATCTTTTGTTTTGCCCTCTCCTGTGTATATATTATATAGTAATAAAGATTATAGCTAATACAGTCACAAAAAGAGTAGGTAACTAAGACCTCAGAGGCCAACAGTACTGACATGTAACTTTAACAGGAATGAAAAATCCCCTGACATGAGTAACGTAGCCTCTATGTGAAGAGCTCTAATGAGGCAGGTTATTTGCTGCTTTTGTTAAAAACAAAAAAACAAAAAAACAAAAAAAACTACAACTTTTAAAAACATCTTTTATTTTACATCACCCACATTTTCCAATATGTGCCTTTCCCTTTCCTTTCTCCCTCTCAGAGAGCTAGGTCTTATAACAAAGAATTTTTTAAAAAACTTGGTAAAACCAAGCAACATATCAAGAAGATCAACATTTTATGAAATGTTCCAACATTTACAGTCCCCCATCTCTGCAAAAAAGGGGAAGAAAATGCATCCTTATATCTCTTCTTTGGGGCCAATTTTGGACATCATAATTTCAAAGCATTCATTTTGATTGCTTTGTTGTTGTTTTCACATAGATAGCTGTAGTCATTGCATAAACTGTTTTCCTAATTCTGCATCCTTCTCTGCATCAGTTCATATAAGTCTTCTCATGCTTCTCTGAATTCCTCATATTCATTGTTTC